TAAATAGTTCTTAAATACTATATTCATTTTTAGCTTACAGAAACAAAAAACAAATTTCAAGCACTTCTGACTCATCACCACACACCAACCAAGAGTTCTATAATTGCTATGATGAAGATTATAGTTACAATTTGGAAAGAGGAAAGAAAGGTAAGAAAATAATTTTATAAAGCTAGTGAACTTATGAAATATAAGTATTCAATGGTTGGTTTCATGTACTTTGATAAGCAGTTAAAATTGTTTTGAAAAGTAGCAGGTGAATCCTTTGAAGAAAAATAGTCTTAATGTTTAGAGATTTAATTGCAGCTGATCCAAAAAGCCATAAATTAAATGCAAGAATTTTAGATGTAAAATAAGTCCTTCTGTAAAATGTATTCTATTGCAGACCTTGTTGAAACTGAAAACTTGTGGATGGATTAAAATATTTTTAAACCTTTGATTTTAAAAAATATCTCAAGAGAGAAATTTGGTTTTAATTTTCTCAACTAATAACTGAGATTTCAAATAAGTTATAGTGATGAGCAATACATAAAGGAGGCATGGGGGAGTACGGATTGAGGAATCAGAGGGCCAAGTTCGAATTCTAGTCGAATTCATTACATTCACTTACATGCTAATACTTTGGGAAAGGTATGAATCCTCTTCAACTCCCCCCAGCTATGGGTAAATATCAGGACAGACCAGGTTCTGTAGCCTTCTCTGTGGAAAAAAATCTCCCTCGTCAGTCATGCATTTCCTAACCATGTATCACACATGGCACATAACTGACTGACTGATGAGCAGTAAAAAATGTCAAGTGTTACAGTCTAGTCATGCTTGCTCACTTCACAGATTTTGTGAAAGCCTACTTTTGGTAAATGTTGGTCATGGCGAAAAAAAGTGAAGGGTATTCACAAAATTATAAATTAATCAAAATTCCCAGAGGAAAATTTGGTAGTTAAAAGTTAAATTTGAAGATTTAAATTAGAGTGTGAGTTCAAATCCCAGTTAAGGCAATGGAGAACTTGGAGAGGGGATTTAACAGGAGATAACTGATAACTGACATCCATTAAACATGGCACGTGGAATTAGAACAGTCTACCCGAGTGAGCGAAATAAAGGGTTCAGTTCGACATTCCAACCACCTGAAGAAGGCTGGAGCGTACAATGGCCGAAATGTAATAAATATGGCGACAAAGATGAGGACAATAGTCCGAATAAAATAAATAGTGTATATAATACCTCATCTCAGAAATATAGACAGATATTAAAGATTTAACTATTAAATTTTGCAGTTTTTGTCTAAACATTTGTTTGAGAAAATTTTAACACTCACTCTGTATGTTGTGTTTTGAAAATTGGGGGAAAAAACTGCTAAGAATTAATGTGGTCAATAATTTTACAATAGGAATGCTTTGAAAATTGGGACCAAAGTCATTGTCAGGAATTAATGCAAATATTACTGACAGAATATGGTTATGGTTACAAATGGAATCAAATTGATCAAATTAATAGCCAGATAAAAGGATTAGTTACATGTTATTCATTTTTTATGAAAAAGAATCATCCCAGCTTTCAGGCTGAAGAAACAGGAGAGAAAGAGCAGATTTGTTAGAGAGTAGTACAAGTATCTTTATATTTTATTATATAAAAGAACATGAAAATATCACTGTTATGTGTCCCTGCAATTTACTAACTCCAGTTTTACAATTACAAAAGGCTAGAAATATGAGCAAGAATCACAAATATGTCAAAAGACCAAGAGGAAAAATAAATAAAAAAGAGTTAAAATATTCAACTTACAGATATTAATACAGTGAATTCACTCTCGCTTATGAACCAGAAAATACACACACCCTTGTTACGAAAAGCAACAGCTTTTATTGAAGAGGTAAATTTTGTGATTGATCATTATAGTTGGGTTTGGTTTGTTTTATTTGTTTTGTTTTACAACATATCAACCTTAATGCCAACAAAATTTTTATTGCTGATATTTTTTTTTTTCAAAAATGTATTGCTGGTAATATTTTTTCTTCAGAAATCTATTGCTGTAATAAATATTTTTTTTTTAGAAATTTATTAACTGACAATAACTGGTAATAATTTATTTCTGCTCATAATTTTTTTTAAAAAAAGGATTTCTCGTATTAAAACCTATTTTTACACTTTCATAGTGTTTTGACCCCAGTTTGCAGGTTAACTATTTGCCCATAGCTGGGACCCTAACAGGTGCTACCACCCCAGGTCAAGGTAGACCTGGGAACACCAACAATTAAGAGGTAGTTTCATGCTCTTCAAAACCACCTGATCTGAGGCCTTGCTGTTGGACATAGTTTATCATCTTACCCAGGACACAGAAGTAATTTATCGTCCTACCCAGGATTGATGATAGTTGGGGAGGATGAATAAAATTACCATTAGTGAAGTATACTTAGGACAATAATTACTTAGGATTTATTTATTTTTATTTTTCCTTTTCTTCAGCAAACTGTGCATAGGACACAAACTCTTTTTTGAGGTAGGTGATTTTCCCTGTTCACTACATATCTATATAGCAATGAATGCTGGAAAATTTCCTCACAGATGATGAAGATAACTGATATGACAAAAACGTGGCTCTACAGAAGAATGCTGAGAATGCTATGGTCGAAACATGGGAAAAAAGGACACTTGTTGTGGAGTAAATAAGACACCCCTGGCAACACAAATGAACTAGCAAGATGCCTTAAATAAACAACTGAAAGTGAGTCAGGAGAAGTCCATTGGAATCAGTCAGAGAGAATTCTAATGATGTTACAGAGAGTAGACTAAGCAAGACATAATATTATTAATATTATAACCACTAAGAGAGAGTTATAACAGTGGTGATGAGGCATAAGACAATCCCTTTCTTCACACTGTAAAGATGGTGGGAACTGAAGTTGTCTAGTGAAGGTTGGCTTGTGTCATATGAATGTCTTGAACCCATTCTCTGTGTGAGTTATTAGTTCATCCAAGAAGGCCAGCTGACTATTACTTGCTTCTTTTGTTGTGAACTGAATTGAAGGCCTTATTGAGTTCACAGATTTAAAAATATAATCATTTAAAAAATATTTACTAGTGGGGAAAAAAACCCTCAAAAGGGCGGATGTTGTGGAATAAATAAGACCCCCCAGTAACACAAATGAACTAAGCAAGACACCTTAAATAAAGAACTCAAAGTGAGTCAGAAGTCCATTGGAATTTGGAGAGAATTCTAATGATGTCACAGTGAGTAACTTAAGCAAGACATAATATTATAATCACTAGGAGTGAGTTATAACACATGTACTTATAATCAGAAAGAGAAGATGAAATTTCTGGAAGACATAAGGACATAGTGAAGGCAAGAGAGACAGAGATAGGCATTGAGCATTTACTTAATGAGTTTCAATGGATGGTAGAACAGGGACTAGAAGGAATAGGAAGGGGAAAAGACATTGCTTAGAGCTACAAAGGATAGGAACTGGTGAAGTGCCAAGATTGTCTAGGTCTTGAATGGACACAGCATATAAAAGAAAATGCTATTGATGAATCATTTGTAAAAGAAAATAAAAGAGGCTGAAAACGGTGTACCTGTCCTTGCCTTGCATATGCATGGCATGAAGATGCTAATCAGAGAATAGAGTACAGTGTGACCCGGATATAAGAGAAACCCGGATATAAGAGAGATTTTCTCTGGTCCCAAATTAGAGCCTGTAAATGTATATAAAATAGACCAAACCTGGATATAAGAGAAACCAGGATATAAGAGACTTCTTCTCCGGTCCCAACAACTCTCTTATATCCAGGTTACACTGTACCAATAAAAACAAGCCAATATTGTATCAAAGAAAAATATGTTGATAATGATATTATTCAGGAACTTTGTTACTTTTTTGTGTATGTGTCTCAAAGAAAATGGAATAAGGAAAAATGTCTTAAGGTTTTCAGTTAAATGTAATTTTCTCATTTGAGATTGAGTTTATTTTCTTTTTTGAAAATTATCCTCAATATTGACTTTTATGTGGAGGAAATATTCATTTTTGAAAATAAATTTGCAGACATTTTAAGAACAAAAACTTTTTTTTTTACAGTCATTTTATAATTAATGCTGAAAGTTGCTATAAATCACAATTTATTTTTTGTAATGGGACATTTTAAGGTCAGGACTGAAAACTTCTCTGAATCACAATTTATTTTTTAATGGATCAGAGCCCAAAATTTCACTATATTGAAAATTACATTTTTAATGTAGTTATTTTAAGATTAGAATGAAAACTGTCCAACATTAAAAAAAAAAAATCACCTTAGCTCTCAAGAAAATGTGGTTTGCACTTTTATGTTTACTTGATGAGTTTAGATTAAGAGATCTTCTCACTAAACATCATTTTATGAAATCAAGGTTTAAAGTGTTGATCTTTATTAACCAAATTCAACACTTTCATTACAATTACATCACATTTTTCATAAAGAATATTTTAATTCTAATTTAGATATATACTCTATTGAATTAGAATAATAAAAGTAGTCTGACTAAAAATATTTTGGTTAAGGATAGTTAACCTTTATCACTTTTTATGTGACTTTAATTGCTGGACAAAAAGGTTATCCTGCTACTGAAGGTGACTCTGATCCCTGAACAATAGAGTTTGAATTTCATAGTTGTGTTGTCATAACCTGCTATGGCAACAGAAAACAACTTTGAGGGAAATTAACAATAAGGATACTGCAATTGAGAGGCTTTGAAAAAGAATGCAGTAAAAAGGGAAGTAATATTAATAATGCAGAGTGCTAAAGGTTTTAATTGTCAGTTTCTTTAGATATTTTTCAAACAATGCCAATCTTAGTACAATCTATTTCTTGAGCATTTGATCTATAGTTAAGAAAACCTGTGCACTAACCACTGCACTATCATAAGATATCCCTTTCAGTATACATTGTGCAAAGTCTCAGGTTTTCCTAAATTATTTAGTGAGAATGAAAATGATTACCATAAGAACTAAATTTAAAAAAAGACTTACCTGCTGTCTGTCCCAACAGCCATTAGCCGTGTTGACTTTTGAGAGCCCCCTCGTTGCAAGGACATATGGAATATTGGGCATCGTGTTAGGTTCCAGAAATTAATAAAATGGTTAAGGGACCAGAGCTTGATTTCTTGAGGGTTGAACACAGAAATCATATTTTCTTCTGTCAAGAACATCCACATGGGGCCATCACTGGCATATACAGGCAAACTAAATTAAATGAAAGAATCATTCCAAAGATATAATTTAAGTCAACCTGAAAGTAATGCTGATAAGTATTCTTGAATATAAACAAAAATACAATTGTTATTTCATTTTTTGTCTATTAGAATATTATGCTATCATATTTGTTTATTAATTTGTTTATAAACAATTATTATTATGCTATCATAAATAACAGCCTATTCAGTTAAGCATTTATTATTATGTTTTCACATGTGAGCCATTAAATATGCTTTTCCAAAGAAAACCAATCAACCACTTTAGTTGACTCATGCTATCTTAAAATGACCTTATATATGAAATTGATATTCTGCTAAGTCCTTATAAGGTTTTCACATGGGAGCCATTAAATATGTTTTTGCAATTGTTAATATGTAGTAATTTTTGTGGAGTGTCTTGAAAGGCTGCTCTAATCAACAGTTGCATAATATCAGTGTTCTTGCAGTGTCATGCCACACACAGAAGGGTGTCCCTGCAAGTACCTCTGGAGGGCAATACTGAGGCCACTGCAGTCTGTGCTAATTCCCTTGCCATACATGTTACATTAGACAACCAACTGCTACTACTACCAAACAAACATGAACATCTACCACTAGCTAGAGAACTCTCTCTTGAATCTCCAGACCATTCTTACATGTGTCTCCATCTCTCTCTATGTAGTGATACTAGCAAATTAGTATGCATAATTTGCATAGGTATAAGTGAACACTCAGGTGGTCACTAAGAATAACCGGTAGTACGAGTCTAGCGGCTGATTAGTGCTAACGTCTACTTCACAACAATGGCGTCGCCGATAGGATACCAATTATCTCTGGAAGATCCAGAATTCGTGGATACTTGGATTCGTTGTTTCTCTGCCACTGCGAGAACAAAAAAGTTGAAAGACAACAAGGAAAAGGGAGGCAAAAATGAAATCATGGATTTATTTTTGGCTACAGCTGGATGCGAGGTGGTAATGAAAGTGTCCACCATGGCATATCCCTTAGATTTGGAAGACCTGACTTTTGAAAAAATAAGTCAGATTATAAGAAGAAATATGACACCCAAGAAAAGGCTGATAGTGGCAGAAAGAACGAAATTCATGTCGACGAAACAAGAAATTGACGAACCAATTATAAAATTTTTACACCATCTACGAAATGCAAGTAGATATTGTGAATTTGAAAAACTTGGACAAGATGAACAGACTATTGAAGAGGACTTGATTCAATTAAGACTAATTGAAGGTATGTCCAATGCGTCACACCGATATAAAATAATGGAACAATTACAAATAGGAAATATGTCTTTAAATACATGTATTGACTTTATTCAGCAACAAGAATTAATACAGAAATACCACCATCATAAAAGTCAACCCAGCGAACAAAATTTCGCTGATACGTACATGTTAAAGAAGATAAGAAGGTGTTCGTATTGTGGACGTGAACACGAAGTGAAAAAGGAAAAGTATCCAGCATTTGGGAAAACTTGTAATAATTGCTTAAAAAAGAACCACTTTCAAGCAGTGTGTAAATTAAAAAAGAAAAATATTGAAAGAATTCAAGAAAACGACACCGATAGGGAAGTTTTTGCATTGAAAAATAAGACTTTGGAACAGAAGAAAAAAGACATTATAGTAAAGGTCAAAATTAATAACTGCAATTTAGATATGCAAATGGATACTGGGAGTGAAGTAACACTGATACCAAAGAACTTTTGGGAACACATTGGTAAGCCACCTTTATGAAAAAGCAGTTTACAACTCCGCCAATTTGATGAGTTGGTTATAAAAATATTAGGATACTTTGAAGGTTCATTAGAGTTAAAAGAAAAATTTGAAGTAATACCTATAATTGTTACAAGTTGTAAAAAAACCACGAGCTTATTGGAAATGATGTGCTTAATATAAACTCTACTAAGTTGATTAATGAAATAAAAATGGAAAAAACTGGAAAGTTAAAAAAACTATGAAGCAAGTTTAAAAGTAAAAGAAAATGTTTCCCCCTCTTATTATGAGACACGAAAATTACCAGTACATTTATTGCCATTAGTAGTGACAAAACTATGCAAATTAGTAGAACAAGACCTTCTTGAACATGTTCTGCCTGGAGGTAGCAAGTGGGCATCACCGATTGTAGTTTTGAGAAAACAGATGGTGATTTACGTATTTGTGGAGATTACAAAATAGGAGTAAATCACAAAATAAGCTCGGATTCATATCCCATACCCAATGTTGAACTGGCATTACATGCACTGGCAGGGATGTCTGTTTTTTCAAAAATAGATTTAAAAACGGCATACCACCAAATACCAATAGATGAAAACTTCAAAGAAGTAACCACGATAAATACGCCAATAGGGTTACTAAGATGGAAAAGAATGCCATATGGTATAAAAACTGCAAGCGCCATATTTCAAAGGGCCATTGAACAGGTTTTAGGAAATGTACAAAATATGGTTTGTTACCAAGACGACATATGCATAGGAGCTACTAATGAAAAGGAATTAAAAGAAAAAACTGATTTAGTCTTGAATAGGTTAAGAAATGCTGGAATGACGATAAATGAAAAAAAATGCGTAAGCAATTCTAACAATTTGGTACTCACAGGATTCAATATCTTTTTTAGGTTATTCCATTTCAAAAGAAGGTATATGACCAGACCAAGCATTGATGAAAAAAATACTAAAAGTAGCTACACCTACAAAAAAAAAAGAATTGGAGTCTTTTTGGGATTGGTAAATTTTTACAGGCGATACTTACTAAAAAATACACGGACTTGACGGAACCGTTTGCAAATTTAAGAAAAAAGAATGTGGAATTTATGTGGTCAGACAAACAGAAAAAAAACTTTTGAAAGATTGATAGAAATTATGTCAAAGAAACTTGTAGTGAAAATTTTTGATCCAAAAAAGGACATAACACTCACTACAGATGCAAGTGAACATTCAATATTGGGAATATTATCACAAGAAGGACATCCGATAATGTATTTGTCGAGAAGGTTAACAAACACTGAATTTAATTACTCAAACACAGAGAAAGAAGCATTGGCTATCGTGTGGACAACTACCAGAGCCCGACAATTTTTAATTGGAAAAAAATTTCTATTAAGAAGTGATCATAGACCATTAGAGTTTATATTTAACCCAAGGAAAGAATTACCCAAAGTCACAACATCAAGGATTCTACGATGGGCGATAAGATTGATGGCATTTGACTTTGATATAGAGTATGTCAAAGGAAATTCAATTCCACATGTGGATGCACTATCAAGATTGAGGTTTTACAAGGAGTCAAAAGACAAAACGGAGGAAGAATTTGAAGATTCATTCCTACACTTGATAGAGACTGATGTTTTGTCTTTAGACAGAATGGCTGCAGAAACGAGACATGATCCAGTGCTAAGTAGGATAGTATCGAGAATAAGAAAAAAAATCGTGGGGAAATTGTTCTAGGGCGGAAAGACCTTATAAAGAAATAAGGCACAAATTAACAATAGAACATGGAGTGATATGCAATGGGGACCTGGTAGTTCCCCCAGAAACACAAAGATAATAGAAAGTGTACATAATGATATACACTGTGGAGTAGCGGCCACACAAAAAAGGATAAAACTAGAAGCTTGGTGGCCGGGTTATTCAAGAGACGTTGAGGAATATGTAAAGAATTGTAAAAAATATAAAGAATTAAGAAACTTTACACAAACCAAATTACATTCGTGGCCCAAAGAAGTGGAGCCATGGAGTCGGGTCCACATGGATCATGCATACGTTAATGGAGTGGGACTCTTATTAATATTAGTAGACTCCTTTTCAGGTTGGCCTGAAATAATATGGGTTACAAACAAGAAAAGTTCTACTATAAAGCAAATTCTAAGAGTCATATTTTCTAGAAATGGCGTACCAAAAACCTTGGTATCTGATAATGCACCAGAATTTTGTGAGGAAGAACTTAATGTATGGTTAGAAAAAATAGGGTGTAAACCATATAAAACTCCTCCATATCACCCTCAATCAAACGGACTAGCAGAAAGAATGGTTCAGACCGTAAAAAAGGGGTTAAAAGCATGCTCTCAGCAAAAAGAAAAAGTAGAAGTTTTTCTACCGAGGCTGCTTTTAAGTTATCAGACGATACCACATGCGGGAAGACTCGAAAGCCCATCAGCTTTAATGGGGAGACAAAATAGAGCTCTGTTAACTATGTCATACTCTACAAATGAAAAGATGTGGTACAAGAAGAGCAAGGATGCGGATCCGGAAAGAGCCGAGTTTATAATAAAAAAAGGCCATAATACAGCCATAATAAATAGAGAGAATGGCGATAGTGTGTTGGCCCATGCTGACCAAATAAGGACCCAGGGTGAAGAGGAAGAGCGAAATGACGAAGAAATGTCTTCAATTCCATCTGATAATGAGTTGGTAGAACAACCATTCCAGAAGGAAACATCGGAAGAGGAAACAATGCAGGAGGAAGAGGGCCAGAAGGAGTCTGAAAGTTCGGACAAAGACCAGATTATGCAAGAAAACACATATGACTACAGCCTAGCCCGGGACAGATCGAGGTCTCCCAGGGGAAGAAATACGGGAGAGAGAGAAATAGAGCAGAATGAGGAAAATAGCAGGAGGAGTACAAGATCTACGAGAGGAATAAAGCCCTTAAGGTTCAGGGAGATGTAGTGATACTAGCAAATTAGTATGCATAATTTGCATAGGTATAAGTGAACACTCTTATAGGTGGTCACTGAGAATAATCGGTAGTACAAGTCTAGCGACTGATTAGTGCTAACCTCTACTTAACAACACTCTACTTAACTCAGTCAGCTATCTCTGCTTTAGCTCTCAGGAATCACTTCTTCTACCTGTACCAGAGCGACATGTCTGATTGCAATAGATGCCTCTTTGCCTCTGCTCATAATGAGTATGTCTTCAATGAAGCAAAATTACTGTTTGCTGATAGAATGATACAACATATAGCATCTTGCAAGTTCAGTTCTTGAGATTATTGG